ACACACGGTAACGGGTTAAAAAATTTTTGGCCTGAAAAAAAAACCAGCAACAATACAGAGAGAGAGAGAGAGAGAGAGAGAGAGAGAGAGAGAGAGAGAGAAATACTACCTGCAAAAAAAATTCGGCTCTTTTTTCTTATTACCGAAATTTCGGTTATTCTATTTACCGAAAGAGAGAGAGAATCTGGCTCTTTTTTTCTTAATGTGTGCCAAGGAATGAAAATGAAAATGTCTATGATGAGATTACTCGATAGAAAAGAGAGAGAGAGAGAGAGAAAAAAAAAACTTGGAAAAAAAGAGGTAGCTAAAAAAATGATATGATATGTCTGATAGCATTAGTAGTAGTAGTAGTTCATGACATATTTAGGTTGAATAACCGTAATTTTCAAAACAGTCAAAAAAGAATCAACTACAACTACTACTACCGACGACAACGACGACGTTGATGATAATCGGATATTTTCTTTCGGTTTATTTTTCTTTACCTGTGATAGCAAGCAGTGGTGTCATATAAAATCACTTGACATTTAACCAAATTGGCCGACATTTTTTTATTTTGGTTGTTGTTGATCGTCAGGATTTAGGTCGTCTTCGATATTGAAATTGAAAGAAAAAAAAAATATTGTGATTCTTCGTTTTTTTTTGTGCAGAAAAAAATCTGGATTTTTTCGTTTCGTAAAATTCGTAAATATAAATGGTGTGTGAACGCCATAAACACCAGGTGTGTGTGTGTGCATGTGTCTTACCTGTTGATCTCTGCATGTGTTTTTTTGTGTGTATTTAACATCATCAGCCGCATCATTAGCATCGTCGTAAGCATCAAATTGTAATACCGGCCGGTAATGAAACAGAAAAAAATGTTAAAGTAAACAAAAAAAACTTTTGAACTTTTCAATTTCTGTTTGTGTCTTTTACTGTTTCACTAAAAATTTCCAAAAAAAATTCAAAAAATTCACTTTAAATTCAATTTTGGTCATTCTGCCGATTCATCATTATTTGTTTGTTGTTGTTTTAAAACAACAACAACAACCATCATAACAACAACAACAATAAAGATATGAATTATCAAAGATTTTATCATCAATCACGAATCATTATGAAGATGACACCACCAAAAACAACAACAACAAAAACGAAAACAACAACAACAACGATATTGTCAACGACAAACAAATTAACAATGAAAAAATTAATAAAAATGTTTTCTACATTAATTATATTAATATTATCAATAATAATTTTTAATCAACATTTACAATTAGTAAATGGAGATAATAATATTACAATGAATAATGTTTTACAGAATAATAATCATTATAATAATAATAATCAAGATCAAGATCATCATCGTACAGGTATGTTGTAATTTTTTGTTTTGTAAAAAATCTTTCCGAAAAACTTTTTCCCAAGAAAATTTTTTCCCGTTAAGATGCAAATTCAGTTAATCAATAGGAGAAAAAAAATTGTTCAAATTTGAACCCCATCGGCAATTCTAATTCAACCCTTGATTCAACCTGACCTGATTGGAATTTTCAAATTAAAAACAAAAAATTGATTAATTTTGTTTCCGATTGAAAAATCCGGAGGCGCAAATGATTAATTAAATCCAATAGTAATTCAATCAGAAAAATCTCGAGTTTTTCAAATGAAAACAAATTCTCGATCAATCATCATCTTGCATTCATTAATTAATTTGATTTGAATATTCCAATTCATTTTTTCCAATTCATCGACAAACAGAAAAATGTTTTAAAAGAAAAGAAATGAAATGAATCGATAAAGTCGGTCAATCGATCGATCAATTGATCGATTGATTTTGCCAAAAAAATTGTAAACACACATTCCATTTGTGTGTGTGTGTGATGATTGTTTGATTTGGAAATGTTTTTTTTTTGTTCAAACATCATTTTCAATATTAAATCGAAAATGATGATGGATGGATGAATGAATGTTTTTTATCAAAAATATTCAAAGTCGATAAAGAGTAGGTCATTGATGATGATGATGATGATGACGATCATTGGGGTTAAACATTCTTTGTTCCTGTGAAATTATTATTTGATTTTGCTGTTTTCAATTTGGTCATTTTACTAAGAAAACCAAAAAGGAAAGAAAATATTTAACATCATTTAGGTGACAAAATTTTCTTTTTCAAAACTGGTGACATATTTTTTCGAGTGTCATCAATGTGGCCATCAAAGTGTTAAATTAAATAGCCATTAGTTTAGTTTATTTATCTAGAGCATTTTAATTACAAACAACCAAAGAAAAAAAATTAAAAAAATATTAATCAAAAAACAAACAATTTTTTCCCCAAACAACTAGAACAAGACGACAAAAAGACAAAACATAAAAAAAACACATAAAAAAATATGCAAAACAGAGAATCAGAATAGGGAGAAATTAGGGTTAAATCTTTCAGGTAAATTATCTTAACCTACTACTACCACCGCCACCACTATCTATCACTATCTATCCTATTCTATTCATCTATAATCCATTATCTAATCTTATAAGGTTTGCTGTTCAGTAAGTTCACTGTTTGTGTGTGTATTCAATGAACTTTTTCATTACATAATGATTTTCTTCTTCTTGATTTTCCTTGCAAAAATATGAATATTTTTCAATTGAATTTCTGTTTATTTCGTTTCGTTTGTCTAATAATAATAATAATAATAATAATAATAATAATAATTTAGGTTATCTACATTCACATCATCATCAGCAACTGCAGCAACAGCAACATAATAATAATCATTCACCAACAACAACAGTAACAGCAACAACCGGTATTAATAATGATCATATAGTAGGTGGGAGTATTAATGGCAACAGTGGCAATAGTAATAGTATTTCAATGATAATGGATCATCAGGTAAATAGCCAAAAGGATAATAATAATCTTCAAGCAATTTTACCATCATCATCATCATCATCATCATCCTCTCAACAATCATTATCATCATCATCATCGACAACATCGGGATTTATACCGATTGCCAAACCTACAGCAGCATTGATTCACCATCAACAACAGCAACAACAACAGGATTTTTATGATTCTTTAGGCAATAATAATAATCAAGATGGAAGAAATCTTTTACAACAACAACAGCAGCAACGTAATCCTCATTTCAATCATGATAATCAACAACAACAACATCATCATCATATTCATCATAATCATAATCATCCATATCAACAACAACAGGTTTTAATTGTTTTTTTTTCTTTCTGTTTGACTACTAAATCTACATATCTTACCTGTCGTGTGTGTGTGTGTACAAAAACTAAACTAAATCATATTTTACACACTTGAATTGAGTTGAACCAGATTTTTCTCGTCTTCTTCTTCTTCTTCTTTTGAATAACAATAACGACAATCCGAAGAAGAAGAAATGAAAGAAGAAAAAAGAGAGCAAAAATAAATTAGGATTTAGGAGAAAAGCTGCTGCTGCTGGTAGTAGTCAGTTAGTGTTATGGATAATTTCAAAAATTTTTTTCAAATGCAACTTCTTTAATCGATTTATATTAGGTTTCGTTTACAGGTGATTAATTTGGTGATTCGATTAATTAATTGAAATTTGTTTCAAGGAAAAAAAGAAAAATTTGAAAATGAAATTGAAAAGAATTCAGGTAGATGCAGGTAGCCAAACTAACTGAAAAAAAACAACAGTTAGTTCTTCTTCTGTTTTATTTGTTGAAATTTGCGAGACTTGTTTACGATGAAAAAAAAATCAAAAGAAAAAAGAAAAATAACCGTTTGTTGTTGCTTGGTTGTTCTCTGGGCAAGCTATTTTTAGCCCAAAAAATGATAGTTATAGTCATTCAGTTTTTTCTTTCTTTGATTCAAAATGAAATGAATCCAAAATATATATCGGTTTCTATTTTCTTTTCTTCGTTACTTTGATCTTTGATTCAAGTTTCAATTCAATTCAAAAGGATGATGATTTCAGGTTCATGCATGCATGCATTCATTTGAATGTTACATAACACAGTAGACACACACACACCTTTATTTTTTCTTTCATTCATTTTTTTTCTTATATGAATAATGAATATTATTAACGGTTCATTTACTAATGGCACCAATTTTTTTCTTCTTTTTTCGTTTCTTTTTTTTAAATCTGGTTTTTCTTCCCTCATTCCCAATTGGTCTGCATTGAATACGAATTTTGTTTAGGATCAAAATATGGATTTAAACCCTGTTTATCATGACAGTGTTAATGGCAATGGAAATCGTCATAATTATCATCATCCACATTTATCGAATGGTCAATCATTTCATTATCATCAACAACAACCAATGCAATCATCAGCATCCGAATTACAGACAAAAAATGCAGATGAATTATTTAAAGAATTTGCAGCCGGTTATAGTAATTTGAATGGTATGGATAATTTTTTTGAAGAATCATCATTATCAAATGAACGACCAGAATCAAATCATCATCATCATCATTATTTTAAATCACCATCATCAATGAATCAAGATATTAATGGTAATGGCAATGATTTAATTACAACATCATCGAATGAAAATCAAATGGATGTAACGGATGGTCCATTCACTAAATCATCACAACAATATCCAATGTATAGTAGCCATCAGGATGATGATAATCCACATTCACAACATCAAATGTATTCATCATCGATTAATACTAATCATCACCATCATCATCCGATGGCAACAGCAAATACAAATGATTTTCATTCAACAACAAATTCAGTTAATGGAAATAATGATAATGAAATGCAAACATTAATGTCATCATTAACATCGAATGATGGTAGTAATAATTATATTAAAAATGCTATTATCAATGAATTTTCAAATCTAAGTCCAGCTGATTTTGGTTCATTTTCGGATTCAATGTCACCAATGTCAATGAATGGTGTTAACGGTGCTGGTGGTGTTAATAATAATAACGGTAATAATATGAATCAAATAAATGCTGGTATTGCCGGTTTTCAACCGGCACCTGAAGGTGGTCAATTACCAGCACCACCGGGTTATAAACATGTTGGCTATATAACAATACCGGCTGGTGCTGCAAATCTACCGAATATGATTTCAAGACAACCAAATGGTTTACCAATTATTCGTCCAATGCAATCGTCATCATCTTCGACATCTTCTTCATCATCATCATCGAATAATGGTGGTAATCAAAAAGATAAAAATAATAAAGATAATAGTAAAAAAATTCAAGATCATAAAATGTCTGAATCAAAACCAGTTAGAAGTTTATTAAGTAAATTAAATCCATTAAATATGTTAAGACGTTTACGTCAAAGACGTGAACGTAGACAAACAAATGATGGTGGTGGTAATAATTCAAATGATTATATGCCATCATATCAAACAGCAAAATATGGTCATTCAAATTTATATCATCAAATGGCAGCAGCAAGTAATCAATATCCAACAATGTCATCATATCCAACTGGTTATAGTAGTATTTCTGGATTGGGTGGTATGTCCGGTTTAGGTGGAATGTATGCAGCAATGAGTGGTATGAATGGTATGTCATCACCATTATATATGCCATATGGTTTTACTGGTGGTTATGGTACTGCAGCCGGTGGTGGTGGTGCTTATGGTGGTTATGGTATATCACCTTATCTACGTAATCCAGCAGCTGATATGAATTATGCAGCCGCTGCAACAGCACAATCAGCAATGGCAATACCAATGATGATGCCAATGACTGGTTATGGTGCTGCATATTCACCATTAGGTATGGCTGGATATGGTGCATATGGTGCTTATCCTGGTAGTATTGGTCAACATCCAGGTATGATGCAACAATCAACAGGACAACAATCATCATCATCCGGTGGTTCATCATCTGAATCATCATCTTCAGGTGGATCATCAACAAATGATCAAGTTAGTTCAGCATTAGCTGGACAAACATTACCTGGTGGTATTAATCTATCGGATTTATTAAAAGATGAAGAAGAAGAAGAACCATCGAAATTTAAAAAATTTATTAGCTACCTAAATCCAGCAAATGTATTTAAACGTTTCCGTAATAATTCTAATAGTAATAGTGATGAACGTATTGGACAACGTCGTAGACGTCGCCAAATTGATCTTTATGAATTGATTGATGCGGATACAATCAAACAATATCCACGAAATCATCAACAACAAAGAACAAAACGTAATATTGATGATAATTTTGATCAAAAAGATAATTTAACCATCGATGATGACCATCATGATATTAATAATAACAACAATTTAACATCGATGATTAAGCAAGATAATGGTAATGATCAACTTGATGAAATGGAACTGTTAACACATTCGGATACGATGCCAAAAGTATCACATGAATCATCATCATGGCGACAAAAATCCTCATCATCAACAACATCGACAACAAAACGTTTAAAATTACCATCAATGGGTAGTAGAAATTTTGAATTAATTCGTGGTGGTACATATCGTTCAATCAGTGGTGGTGGTGGTGATAGTGTTGGTGGATATCATGGATCAATAATCGATGATAATTTTAGTGATGATTTTGATTCAATACATTCACATTCAATACATCATTCACATCAACATTTACATCATCAACATTTGAATAATAATAATAATAATAATTTACCATTAACATTAACTAATGATCAATTACAACCATCGCAAGAATTAATGGGTTTTCAAGGTTTTAATGATCATAATAATAATAATAATAATCATTTATCATTTCAACATCCATTATTGGCTAAATCAGAAAAATTGGCTAAACATTTAACGGAAAATCATCAAGATCACGATGAGGATAATGTTGATGTCAAATCAAGTAGCCATGATGATGATGATGGTGAAGCATTATCATCATCATCTTGAAGTATTTTTTTTTTCTTCGTTCATTATCAACTATCTAGGCTTGTCATTATTGCATCGACTGCATCATCCGCATTCGCATCATTACACCACCATCAGCAAACGACGAGGGTTTCAATTTGATTCGACTGAATCCGAAGAGAACTGAATCAATCGAATCAACCAATCGATTAATCAAATCAATTCATATTTTTATAGTCATTTTTTTAATCACACAATTTTTTTCTTCTTCTTCATCATTTTCTCTCAAACAAAACAAAAATCTCAATTTTTTCAAATTTTTTTTCCAATTAAAGATGTGTACATAATAATAGTTACTCAAAAACCAAAAAATCTTTGAATTCTTTCTTCTTTTCAACAAATTAAAGCAAAAACAAAAATCATATCATTTCTTTTTCGCTTATCAAACTCACCTCAAACATTTTTCATTTCATTTCAATTTTTTTGATCATCTTTGTCCATCATTATTCTGTGTTTGTTTGTTTATGTCATGTCATCAACGAAGACGATGAAAAAGATATTTTTTTCTCATCATTTTTGTGAACATTTTTTTTGCTACATTTTTGCTACTTTTTTTTTGATATTTATTAATTTAAAACAGAATTTTTTGTATCGATTTTTTTTTGACACAAGCACCGACACAAAGACATTACGGCTAATCCTTGAACCTTTTTTTTTGAAAATTCTCGCACACACATTATATACACAGGAAACTTTGATTTTTTCATGATTTTACAACGAAATTTCCATTTTTTTACATCGCAAGACACACACACACACATTACAAATTACAAACACATTCATTAAACGCGCAAATTATTTTATCTTTTCTTTTGAAAAAACGAAACAAACAAAACTTACTACTACTTAATTCTATCATTTTTTTACAAAAATCTCATGTTTTTTTCACTAATTTTTACAATTTTTTTACAAATTTTTTACAATTTTTTTTTTGATATTTTCAATTAATCTCATCGTCATCATCGAAACATACATATTTTTTTGATAAAAAATTATACATTTTTTTTAAATAAATAAAATTTTATAGAAAAAAAAATCATTTTGTTTTTTTCATTGAAAATTTTAAAAATTTTAAAAAATTTTGAAAATTTCAAATTTTCCGCCAAAAAAAAATTGAATAAATTCGAAGTCCTGTGTCGTGTAGCGGCATCTATCGTTTTGAAATAAAGTCAATTTGATGCACATGCGCTTTTCGAATATATTTTTGTTTGCATGCATGCATGCTGCTCATTTTTTCCTTTTCCGTTCAAATTTTTTCTTCTCACTGTTGTTGCTCGCTTCGTTCTCCTATTCACACAAACATACACGTGGTTTCTACCTTGTATTGTTCTCAAATTTTACCGAAAAAAAAATTCAAATTCTGAGCTAAGGCAAAATTCTTTCAATCAGATTTTGCAACTTTACAAAAGAATCCACAACAAATTTTTTAATTGAAAAAAATGTCTATCAACGAATTAGCCTGCGTTTATGCTTCATTGATCCTTCAGGATGATGATGTGGCCATCACTGCTGAAAAAATTCAAACAATTTTGAAAACAGCTAACGTTGAAGTGGAACCATATTGGCCCGGTTTATTCGCTAAAGCATTGGAAAATATCGATGTCAAAGGTTTGATTACAAATGTTGGATCGGGTGTTGGTGCTGGTCCAGCTGTTGCTGGTGGTGTTGCAGCCGGTGGTGCTGCAGCAGCAGCCGGCGATGCTGCCGCAGCCGATGATTCCAAATCGAAGAAAAAAGAAAAAGAAGCTGAACCAGAATCCGAAGAAGATGATGATATGGGTTTCGGTCTTTTCGATTAAAATTTTCCATTGGGAAACATCAACAACAACCAACTTTTTTGAATTGTCAAAATAACAAAAAACAACCGTATTTTGATCTAAAAATCTTGATTTTTTTTTAATTTTAATTTTTTCAAAATAAAAAAAAAGTTTAATTTCAATTTCGATTCGTTTTCTTTGAAAAAAATTTATCAAATTTTCAATCAAATTGACAACAACAAAATAAGGGAAATTTTCATTCTTGAAAAACAAACTATATTTCGAAATTGATTGAATTTATTTCATCAGAAATTTAACAATTTTTCTCCCCCATATCAAACAAACAAAAAAATCATACGAATTTATTTGATTTGATAAGATGTTTGTCATATATTGATGATGACGACAATAATCAATCAATCAATCAAACATTGACCGTGCTCCGGCGGCACGCATAGTACATTTGAAAATTCTTTTTTTTGCCATTTTTAAGTGTGGATAATGGTGGTTATATGATGGTGATGATTATGATCAATTTGATTTGATTTCTTTTCTTTCTTCATTTTTGTCATAGGCACAAATTCAACACTAATTATGATAAGCTAAATTGAAACAAAAAGAAAAAGAAAAAAAAATTTGATGATGATAATGATGATAATCGCGCGATATATGGCATTATAAAAACCCAATGAATGATGATGATTCGTTCAATTACGATTCATTGGAATTCATTCCATTCATACATCATCATCATCATCATTTTTTTAAAGTTTCGGTAGCAACCAAAGACCAAGAAGAAGAAGAAGAAGAAGAAGAAAATGGCTACAAGTTTTGTTGTTGATCGTGAAAATCTTAAACAACGTTTAACCAATTTACAGTATAATGTAACACAAAATGGTTATACTGAAGAGTAAGTTGATTGATTGTTTTATTTTTCTGTTTGATTTTCTTAAAATCTAATCATGTTTTCAATCCAATAGACCATTTACAGGTGAATATAATAATTGTAATGATGGTGGTATATATTCTTGTATTGTTTGTGAACAACAATTATTTACATCGGAAACAAAATATGAATCTGGTTGTGGTTGGCCAGCATTTTTTGATTCATTAGATATGAATAAACTTTGTTTTAAACCTGATTATAAAAAAGCACCACGTATTCGTACGGAAATTACCTGTGCAAAATGTGATGCACATTTAGGTCATCTTTTTGAAAATGGACCAAAACCAACCGGTAAACGTTATTGTATCAATTCTGCATCATTAAAATTTGAACGTTTTCCACAACAACATTCCTAGCGTCCCAAAAAATGAAATAATAAAATCGAAGCTAAAATGAAAAAAATTAAGATTTTGTAGTTTTTTTTCAAAATGATTATTGCTAAATACTTACACACAAACAAACACAGCCATTCATTCAGAGTTTTTTTTATATTTCACAAAATTGAAATTTGATTAAATATTTTTTTTCGTGAATATCTTTCGCTTATTTCAACTTTGATTTGAAAGGAAAATTTTTTTGTTGCGTGTTAAGCGTAAATTTCATGGACTTTGGCTTCTTTCGTTTTGATTTGATTTTTATGAAAAATTTTTACCTAAATGATTTGATTGTTGGTGTTTGTTTTCGTTTGCACCAAAGTCACATGTTAAAGTTGTCAAGAAAAAGAAATTTTTCTGATTTCTTCAATTCCAAAACGAACGATGATGATGATAACAGCAAAACTCAAATGAGAAAATGAAAAACAAAAATATGAAATTAACTGAAAAAATCGGAAAAAGAGTTGTTGAACATAATCAATCAATCATGGCAAGGAAAAAAAATTAAGATCAAGGATAATGAAGATGGTGAAAATCATCGAAAAAAAACAAAAAACTTTGAACAAACTTTGATTTTCATTTTGGGAAATATCTTCGGAACATTCGAATGTATCTATCTGTTGTTGTTAGGGAATTTTTATCGGAAATTTTTGTTGTTGTCAATTTCGTAATACAAAATATGCGAATCACGTGGATGTTTTCTTTATTTTTGTTTTCAAATATTTAATCCAGTTTGATTCAGTTTGATCCAGTTTTATCATCCGAATCGAAAAAGAAGAAGAGCCATGACATCGATCAAAAGCCATGTTCGATGTTTAACATACGAAAAACCATTTTTATTGGCTGGTAAATTTGATTTATTGAACTTTTGATTTTTGATTCTGATTTTCATTTTTTTTTCGGTTTAGGTATCGGTTCGTTTGTATTCGTCTGGTATCGCAATGATGATCATCAACAATATCAATTTATTCGTTCCATTCCATTTTCGGTGAAACAGAATATTATTGGTATAAAATTTTTAAATAAAACAAATCATGATCAACAACAACAACGAATCGAACGTCAATTGATTATCTATTCGATTCATTACATGTATTATTGTACAATTCGTTATAATCCAGACAATAATGTATTTGATAATTTTGAATTGATTATAAACAATAGTTATATTAATCATTATATGATACTTGATTTAATCGATTGGAATAATAATTTGATAATCATAATAAATGCACGTAATGAAATTATCATTAGGAATCTTGTTGACAACGAGAATGTTTCTGCTGATGATGATCAACAATTACAGCAAAAAATATTTGGTCCACAAAAATGTATACTTTATTCGGCAAAAATTCTTGAATCATCCATTGATAATAACTGTCTGATCATTGCATCGGGAACTGTATTCACACAGATTCTGATTTGGTCAATTGTTTTACCATCAAACAATGATGAAAAACCATTAGTTGAAGAATTACAAACATTAAATGGTCATGATGGTGTTATTTTTGCCATTGATTATAATTCAAAACTTAATATTTTGGTTACAGCATCGGATGATCGAAGTGTTCGTTTATGGAATGGTTGTTGTGATAATTTTTCAGAATCATCAATGAAAAATAATCATTGTTCATGGAAAATGAATAAATTTCAATTAACACATACGTATTATGGACATGAAGCCCGGATATGGCGTGTAATGATCACTACGACTCGAACAGATTCTCCCAATATTTGTATATCAGTTGGTGAAGATTCATCATTAATTGTTTGGTCATTACAACAGCCATATGGAATGATTAGACGTAAACGTTTTATAAGAAATAATCGAATATGGAGCCTTTGTACAACCAATAATGATGATGATCATCAACAAATTATTTGTGGTGGTAGTGATAGTTCCATACAATTAACCTATATTGAAGATATTTTACAATTAAATCAATTTAAAATTAATGAATGGAATCAAAAATTATCCTATATAAAAGCTATAGGATTTTTACGTACAAACAAATCAAATTCTTTACGAACAATAACTGCATGTATAAAAGGTGAATTTTTTTGCTGTGATAATGATTTGAAGAAAGAGAAAATTGAAGCCATAGATGATCAGGAATATAATCTTAATGATATATTTGGTGATTATATTAAAATGGCGGCGAATTCGAAACGAAATATGATTATTGTTGGATCGAAATTTGGTCATTTAGGTTTGATGATGACTACCGATTCAAATGATGTTAAATTTGTTTATTTGCAAAAAATATTTGAACGGAAAATTATCGACATCAGTTTCATCGATGATGATGATCAATTAATGATTTGTTTACTTGATGGATTAGTAAAAATTGTTCATATTATTGTTGTTGTTGTTGGTGAAAATTATCGATTAATAATCGATAAACATGATTATCGATTACCAAATAGTAAACATCAATGGTGTTCATGTGGTCATTTATATAAAAATCTTTTCATCGTTGGTGATTATTCGGGTAATGTTCTTGGTTATTGGACTGATAAACAATCATCAGAACCATTCAGAAAATTCTGGCATATTCATGGACAGAATGGTGTAACAAGTATTCGACGACAACCGGAATCTCGATTCATTTATTCAAGTGGAAGAAATGGACGTATAATTGAATATTTGATTATTGAAAATGAAAACAATATGATTGTTGATTTTCAAAAACTTCGTACGTATGCATCATTTTCAAGTGTTGAATGGATTTGTGGATTTGAATTTGACCGGCAAACACAAAGGCCTTGTTTTGTTTATGGATTTGATTGGCGTAAATTTATTGTCTGGAATATTGATAATGATCAGAATATATTGTTTGAAGAAGATTGTGGTGGTGGTCATCGATCTTTCGATGTTTCTATTGAACAATCGATATTCGATGATGATGAATTAATACAAATTGATTTTTGTTATAGTAAATCCGATACAATCAAACATGTTGGACGTTGTTGTCATTCACCAAAATTTCCGAAATCAAAATTATCATTTTCAACAATACCAAGAAAGATAAATTGCTGCACGCAGATGATTATTGATGATCAACAATCATCATTAATTTATTGCCTGATTGCAGGTGAAGATCGATCAATTCAAATTATTAGCTATGAAAATGAAAATTCATTTAAACTTGTTGAAATTTTATATGGTCATATTGCAACCATAAATGCTATAAAATGTTTATCAAATGTTAATCAAATGACATATGCTATTTCGGTTGGTAGTCGATCACAGATGATTATATGGAGATTTTGGCATGACCAACAACAACAACGATTGATTTGTGAAGAAAAATCAATGAATTTTCTTGGTCTTTTCAATAAACAATTGGAATTTGAAACAAAAATTCGTAAACCAAATGATCAAGAAGAACTTCTTGAATTGGATGTTCGTTATTTGGATGTTGATTTTATTGATTTTCGTAATGAAAACGATATTCAATTTCATATAGTTGTTGCATGTTCAGATGCATCATATCGTATATTTAATTATAATGAACGGGATAACAAAATTGAAATTTTTCATAAAATTCAATTAGGAATGTCATGTTTGTTAAGATGTAAAATTTTTAGATTTTCAAATCATCATCATTTGCGATCGAAAGATGGCAGCACTGGTTCCAATATTATCCCGAGTGTAATTACAACAAATGATGGTTATATTCATTTCTATTCAATTGATCATCAAAATTCAATCAATAATAATATTGACGATAATTATCGATCATCATTATTATTATCCAGGCAAATTCATCGATCCGGTATTATTGCTATTGATTGGAAATTTATTAATAATGGTAAGTTGTTGTTGTTGTTGAAATATTCAATCAATTCAGTTCAATAATCGATTGATTTTTTACCAAAAAACTAAAAGAAATATTAATTATTGCAACCGGTGGTGATGATAATCAAATAATTATAACATTGATTAATGTTTGTTTTGTCGATGATTGTCATGATAATCATAATGGTAGCGATCTTCCTCATCAGCAAGTTAGATTAAATTTTTTACGATCATTCAGCAGCCAGCAACCGTACAACAATCATGGCCATACATGTCAAATAACAGGTTTGTTATGATTGTTTGTTTGTTGTCTATTTACTTTATTTTTTGATTAATTTATTTACTTAATCGAAAAAAAAATTTATTGATCGATTCGATTTTGTTTTGTTTATTTATTTATTTTTGGCTTATTCATTCTGCATCCCCATATAGATGTAAAATTTATCGATAAAAATGATTATCGAAATTTGATTAGTATATCGATTGATCAGCAAATAATTTCCTGGTGTATACATATGGCTAACAAAGATCTTGATCAGGATGATCAGGATCATGATGGTGGTGGTGGTAGCAATGATGCATATCAAAAACTAAACAAACCATCCAATAATGTTGATTCAATACGATCAATCAATCGACATTTAATATCCATATCGGATGTATCATCATTTTGTTCATTGTTCAATCAAGATGGAAATAATAATGATGATCAACAACAACAACAACAAAGAATAAATAAAAAACAATGGTTTGTTTGCTTTTGATATAATCATCATTTTTTGGTCACTGATTTCTTGTTTTCTATCATTATTTTTGAAATTTTAGCAATGATAATGATGATATATGGCTAATTTGTGGTGATGGATTTCAATCGATTTCCCGAAATCAAAAAAAAAATTCCTGATTGAATTGAATGGTGTTTTTTAGCCATAGAAAAAGAAAAAACCAATGAAGAATCCGGCCCAGTCAATCTGCGAATATGTCGGGATTCATATACGTGTAACACTCGAGGCTATCGAATTGATGGATCAATCGATCGATCGATTGATGATAAATCAGACCAAGAAAGAAAAAAATGAGGAATTCAAAATGTGTAAAGCGCCTGTTTTGAAAAAAAATCTCTAATCGACGAAACAAAATAAACGTTTTTTTTGCTGGTGTTACATTATTTATTTAATATTTTTCATATTCTGTAATTCATAAATGAACATTAACATCATCAACAA